AAAAAAAAAAAAGAAAAATTGTCCAGGTGTAGAGGCATGTGCCTATAGTCCCAGCTACTCTGGAGGCTGCAGTGAGCTGTGACTGTGATGATGCCAACCACACTCTCACCAGGGTGACAGAGCGAGACTCTAAAAACAAAACCAAACCAGATAGTACCTGGTGCTAAGGGCCAACCAAAGGGGAACCTGGGAGGAGTTGGGGGTGCCTGAGAAAGACCAGGCATACTAATGGAGTTTGAAAGTACATTAAGGTTTTCCAGGCAGAAGAGACTGGGAACAGCATTGCAGGCAGAGGGAAAGAGCCAATGTGCTAGGGGTGGAGCAGCCTTGTGGTCTGGGGAGCTCTGAGGTGTTCGTCCTGAGGGCGGAGGCAGAGGCCGCCCAAGCAGGAGCTGCACGAGTGACAGAGCCCTGTCTTTGATACCAGCCCCGGGATTTGGGCTTGATCCAATTGATGGCAGCACCATGAGCATTTTAAAAGGATCCCCCTGCGTGTTAATCAGGATTCTTCCTTTTGTAGGTGATTCAGCTTGCTGGCTTATGCACAGAAAGGGGATTTCATGATTCATGTAACTGACAGCTCAGGACTAGGTTAGCTTTGGGCTCACTGGATCCAGGTTTAAAGGGCACTAGTAGGAACCTTTCTGTGTCTTGGCTCTGTTTCCCTTGTGTTACTGTCATTCTCACACAGTCTGTCTTGTCAAGCCATGGTCTCTCACAGTTCCAGGCCAGCATTCTGCTAGCTGACAGCTCAGAGGAATTAGTTACTATAGAACCTTTATTCTATGACCCAAGTCATTCCCACAAAAGTCCCAGATCTGATTCTCATTGATCTCACTTAAGTGGATGCCTGCCCCAAGGGACGTGTGGCACAGGTGGTCAGCACAGGGTCACCTGCCTTTCCTGGAGCCTGGGGCAGAGAGAGGAGTTTTGTCAGGCACCCAAAGGAAAACCCCAGTCTTTTTACTAAACAGGAAAGATGCTGGGCAGATGGAAACAAGAAGCACCTGTTGGCTGGCTGCCAATTGGAGGAAAAGGCCAGTGGGGTGGCCTGAGGTGATGGGGGTTGGGCTAAGAGCTGGTCAGAACTGGATGGGCCTGAGCAATGTGCAGGAATAGAACTGACAGGATTTGAACATTGGCTGGAGTGAGGATGGGGGTCAGGAGGTTGGGCAGACCCAGAGGAGCAGCTTATGGGAAGATAATGTCATGTGCTCTGTGATGATGCTAGGAGGACACATCCGAGGGGAGAGTCACTCATTCATTGCAGTGTCCTGGGGCTTGAGATCTCTGTCCCTTATTTTCTTTCTTTTTTTTTTT